CTGCTTTATGTTCCTAACATTACTAAAAATTTGTTGTATGTTTCCAAATTCACTCAGGACAATCAGGTTCTACTTGAATTTTATCCTAATTTTTTCCAAGTTCGAGACTTGCATACTCAGAAAATTCTGTTAAAAGGAAGTGAAGATGGAGGACTATACAAATTCGATGTTGCAATGAATAAGTCTGTTAAAAATGACACTTGTTTACCTACTGGCAATGGGCTTCATGTCAATGATTCTGCTCAGAATTTTTCTGCTGATTCTGCTCATATTAATAATTCTGCTCATAATTCTTTGTCTTCAATAAGCTGCCATATTGTAAATACTAGAGTACCTATGGATGTATGGCACAAAAGGCTAGGTCATCCTTCTAAAGAAGTTTTGTTTTCTACATTAAAACACTACAATGTAATTCCTTTTTATATAAATAAAGATCAAATGTTGTGCAAAGCATGTCAACTTGCTAAATCACATAAACTGCCCTTTTATGAATCACATACTGCTTACTCACAACCTTTAGAGCTTATAGTTTCTGATGTATGGGGTCCTGCCCCTGTGTACTCTAATGGATTCAGATATTATGTTGCCTTCACTGATGCACATAATAGTTATACTTGGATTTATTTTTTAAAACAAAAATCTGAAGTTAAAACTGTTTTTCTTCAGTTTCATAAGCAGATAGAAAGGCAGTTTGGTGTCAAGCTCAAGGTGTTTCAGTCAGATGGAGGGGGTGAGTTTGGTGTTCTTCAAGCCTACATGAAGGAGCAAGGCATTGTGCACAGGATGTCATGTCCTCATACTTTATAACAGAATGGCTTAGTAGAAAGGAAACATCGACAGATAGTTGAGGTAGGTCTCTCTATGCTAGCTCAAGCTACAATGCCATTAAGTTTCTGGAATGATGATTTTTCTAGTGCAGTGTTTCTTATTAACCGGTTACCTACTCGAGCTTTATATGGCATTTCACCATATGAAAAACTTTTTCACAAAACACCATATTATAGTTTTTTAAGGGTTTTTGGTTGTGTGTGTTACCCATTTCTAAGACCTTATAACCAACATAAATTTCAGTTTCGGTCCTCTACTTGTGTCTTCTTGGGTTACTCTCCTACTCATAAGGGATATAAATGCTTAGATTTTAGTGGTCGAGTCTATGTGTCAAGACATGTTCGCTTTGAAGAAAATGAGTTCCCTTATCAACAACTTCAAAACCTTTCTAGTAGTTCTACTTCATCAATGATATACAGGTCTACTAGAGCTAAGCAAAAGTATTCAAGTGTCAAAATATTAGCTCCCAAGACAGTATGTTTTATCCTTCCTTTCTTTCTTCCACTAACACACACAGTCACAAGTTAGTCTCATCATCTTCCTCACTACCACAACAAATGTCTTCATCATCAATATCAACTTCTCATCCTTCAAATCTACCGTCTATTATACCATCAACATCATCACATTCATTCACTTCATCACCATCCAATGTACCTTCATCACAACCATCCACATCGTCTTCATCTCATCCATTCACAACTACTACATCTCTACAATCATCTCCATCTCCATCATCTATATTACTACTACCATCTCCATCACCACCACCACCACTGTCACGACAAATTCATAATACAAATCCCATGGTTACTCGTGGGAAGGCTGGCATTTTCAAACCCAAAATATTGCTTGCTGAGACAAGTCCTCAAGAGCCAACTAGTGTCTATAAAGCACTACAGCATCCTGATTAGTGTGAAGCAGTTCATAATGAGTATAATGCTCTTATGAAGGATGGTACATGGGAGTTGAAGCCTCTTCCACCTACACGCAAAGCAGTGGGTTGCAAGTGGCTTTTTAAAGTTAAGAAGAAGCCTGATGGGTCTGTTGACAGGTTTAAGGCTCGTCTGGTTGCCAAGGGTTATTCACAAATGATAGGGAGAGACTTCTCTGAGACGTTTAGTCCAGTTGTTCGAACAAGCACAATCAGGACTGTGTTGGTTGTTGATGTCATGAAGAATTGGCCACTTAGACAAATTGATATTAACAATGTGTTCCTCAATGGGAAGTTAACTGAGGAAATTTATATGAGACAGCCTTCGGGATTCGAGAAGAAGAGTGAAGATGGGCAAGAACTGGTGTGCTGTTTAAAAAAGACACTTTATGGGCTTAGGCAAGCTCCTAGAGTATGGTTTGAGACTTTGAGAAATTTTTTGGTTAAAAACCTTGGTTTCACTGTTTCAAAAGCTGATTCCTCCTTGTTTATCATAAATTCAGCATGCTCTCAAGTGCTTTTAATGGTGTATGTTGATGATATAGTCATCACTGAAAGCCAGGAAATTGAAATGGATGTCATAGTGAAAAAAATCAATAAGGAGTTCTCTCTTAAAGACTTGGGTCACTTAGAGCTCTTTCTTGGAATGCAAGTTGAGCATACTGCAGGAGGTTTAATTTTAAATCAGAAGAAGTACATTTCTGATTTGTTGAAAAGATCAAATCTAGATGAGTCAACACCTACAGCTACTCCTATGGTTCTTACTCCCAAGCTTAAGGCAAATGATGGACAGTTGTTTGGAGATATCCATCTTTATCGTAGCATTGTGGGAGGTTTGCAATACGTGTGTTTAACACGATCTGACATAGCGTTTGTTGTTAACAAAGTTAGTCAGTACATGAATAGCCCATGTGATACTCATTGGAGGGTAGTAAAGCGCATACTAAGGTATCTCAGTGGTACACTTGAGCATGGGTTGTTTTTCACTCAATCTGGAAATTTTAGTCTGGTCTGCTACTCTGATGCAGACTGGGCAGCCTCGGTGGAAGATAGACAATCCACGACAGGCTATTGTGTTTATCTTGGGGGAAATCCAGTTTCGTGGTGCTCTAAAAAACAAAGTGTTGTATCTTGATCTACATCAGAAGCAGAATATAGAAGCCTTGCTAATTCTGTTTCTGAATTTATTTGGATTGAACAACTTCTTGATGAAATTGGGGTTAGTTTAGCTGGAAAACCAGTTGTATGGTGTGATAACACCTCTGCAATTTCTATGGCAGCAAATCCTACACACCATGCTCGAATAAAGCATGTGGAAATTGATATACACTTTGTGAGGGAAACAGTGTTGGCTGAACAACTTAGTGTAAACTTTGTTCCTTCTGCAGAACAGGTTGCTGATATACTCACCAAGCCGTTGTCACCTGTAGTGTTTAGTGATATGCGCTCACGTCTTGGTGTTAAGTCTTGGGCAGAAATCAACAGCATCAGTCATAAGAAGCAAGTTTGAAGAAGCCAGGAAAATGTTGAAGTGGCAGTTCAGATCATAAGAAAACCAGGAGAATATTAGTGTATCATATTACAGCTGATAGCCGTTGCTGTAACTATTTTTGTTAAATCTGTTGTAACTGATTTCTAGTCAGTTGGGCTAGTTAGTTGGGCTTATCTGTATATATAGTGGGTCTGATCCACTATTCAAGAAGTAAGTGAATATTTTGCTATTTTCATAAAACATTGTATCTTTCTGAAATATCATTGAGCACTGGTTTCGTGCCTTCTTCTCTTCTTCTCTCTCACTCTACCAGTTCACCATAGCTGAATTGTTTGTAGTTACTTTGATTGATTTCTGTCAGCTGCCTGGTGGTTGTCTTTCCTTTGTCTTATGAAGTAGATCATTAGATGTCAAGTTCGTTGTGATTTGTGGTTGTTAATGTGATTTGGTTGTTGGAACTCTATCGACGATGAGTGGGTACTCTTTTTCCTCCATTTAAAATTAGGGAGGTTTTTTAATGATATCTCTCTCTTCGTTGCTTTCGTATATTTTGATCGTTAGTATACAAAGCATCCATTTTCAAAAATAAAAATAAAAAAATAAAATCAATCAATTAAATTACCAAACAATCATTAAACATTACTTTAGAGGCTAAATTATCAATCATATTGATGATAAGGGTTTATAGCGATTAAAATCATCAAAATGATTTTAAACCTTATCAAACAAAGATTAAACATTATTTTAGAGAATCTATAATATATTACGATTAATGTATTAAACGATGCTATTCAAAGTTGATCTATGAAAGTATCTGTTTATAAAAAACAAATATAAATCATATAGGAAAAAATTAATTTTTTATTTTATTTTATTTTATAATGTAATATAAAAATAATGAAATTTAGATTTCTTCATAAGGATTTAAGATCAAAATGGTAGGCATAAAAAATGCGACTTGTACCACTATGGTAACCACAACCATCAGCCAAACCCTTTTGACATGACCCAATTTGCATGATATCTGCTTCATCGATTAACATCCCACTACGTAACAAATTCTAAAAAGATTACACGTATCTTTATTTTTGCAAGCAATTGGCAATGTCAAATATTATTTTTTGCCGTTTATTGCACCAAATCAGCAAATCATCCTAAGTTATAATAACAATATTTCTCAATCTAGATGTAATCCACTTGCTCAATAAAAAAATCTATCCTTTCGTTAAGTCAATAATTAACAAGAATTAAGTGAAGACAAATGGCAAATGACCTAAATAAATAAATAAACAAATTTGGTTCCATTCCATGCGTTGGCAAATTTTGACTTTGTTGAGTGGTCAATTTCTCAATTGGGCCCCTTTCTTCTTCCCCTGTTTTAATTATTGGGACTAATCAACAACACGAGAACCACGTTATGTATGCAATCCTGCATTTTAATATTAGTATTATCAATGTATCTGATTATAAGGTAGTATTTGCTTATAATTTTTCTTAGTCATTGATCACGTATATATATATCTTGTAGGCACAATTGTTCGAATTTGAAATATCTAGAGAGAACAATATTTCTTTTTTACTCCTTAAATCGTTTGATGAATTCATATTTTATATGATATTATTTCATCAATCATAAAACAAAGATATATTGTTGACACTAACTTTTCGTCCTGTCTTTTAATACATTATTATTATTATTGTGATTATTAATGTTACATATTATATTTTACAGACCCAAGACCCAGTTACAAATATCAACCGAATTACAAGATGTTAGTTCAAGCCCATGTGACCCTGTTCAGTAACCCGACCTAATGAATTTAGGATTTGCTAAAATCCTAAAGCAAGCTGCCATCAACTTCAACTGTCATCCACGCATGTCTCCTACTGCAGTGTCAAGCCAACATAGAGACACCACCAAATACTTCTAGAAGTTGTCATCATCTGGCCATCTCAGCAAATGTGACTGGATTGAAACTAATGTCAACACAAAAGATTAAGTTTACCTAAACCTTTGGGGAAAAAAAAAGCAAATCCTGAAAATTACGGGATTAAAGATACCTGCTTCAACACTAATTGAAGAAAAAAGTGGATTCGAAACAACCATAAATAGGGGAAATTTCAACGGGGAATAGAAGGAAAATGGAGGAGGTTTTCCTGGATACTGAGAAAGAAAAACATAAAATCATTGTAACATGAATATAAACATTGTATTAAAAAGCCGAGAAAGCAATAGAAATACCAGGAAGTTTGAGGTATTATTTATTTGGTTTTCTCTTTATTTTTCAGTTTCCTTTTATATGTATGTTCGTATTATTTGGAAAAAAAAATCAGTGTAAATTGGTTCATTTCCTTCGATTAAAAGAACAAAACCCAAATGTTCTTCCCGAATCTTCAATAAAAAATAATCCATGTAAGAGTTTTTTTTATATATTCGAAAAAAATAAAGCAATACAAAGATTTTCAATTCACTTATTTACAACACAGTGCTAAGACCCAATATTTTCTTCAAACATAGTTTTCTTTATTTTTCTTAAAATTAACAAAGTCATATCCATTTTCATTCTTAATAAATATATTATGTAAAGAATAGGGAGATATCATTTACCTTCCAAAAAGAATCTCGTGACCGGAGTGAACCCTTGCATGCTCGATTTAAGGCTCGATCTGAGTGTTTTAGTGTGATCGAGAGTCATTGTTGTTACCGGCCACTAAAAATAGGATGAGTTAAATTAATCATGAAAAAAATCGAAACTTTAAAAAAGAGTAACGAGTGATGGGATCGTTGGGTATGGTAGTCGAATATAAGGCTTGGGGCTTCGAACGACGATGATGGTAGCTTGAGTGCGATCGTGCGAGCTTGGGAAGCTCTGGTATCTCTTTGGTGTTCTCGACCGAACAAGTGAAAGAGGGAGGCTGAAGAAGGAGAGAAGCTGCACAGGGAAAATTTTAAAACAAAAAAAATGGGAAATTTAAATGGGCTAGGGTTTAGTTCATGTTTAAAATAATATATATATATATATATTTATTCATTAAAATAACATTGTTTTAATAGTTAAAGCCGTGTTTTACATAAGGAGGGGGTAAACACTTTGGTTAATCCTTTGAGATTTCAATCATTTAACTTGGGTCCTTAATTTTTTTTTAGTTTCTGATTGTAGCTCCTAAGTTTCATGCAAATTTCATTTCGGTCCCTAATTATAGATTTATAGATTTATAATTTTGTCTTTGTACTTTATGCGTATTAAATTTTAGTCCCTTATATATTTAATTTTATTTTAATTTTGGCATAATATTTTAATAACTTATATTTTAATTCTATTTTTATTATAATTTTTGCATGTTGATTGCATTTGAATTCATTTTAGTCCTGATAAGCATTGCATGATAGCCTCATGTACATAACTTGACATAATTACATAAATTGACTAAGGGTAATATTCGAGCATTTTAATATTGTCGTAAAGTGACTGTCTTAACGTATAAGAAAGTTACTTTCGATAATTTTAAAATGAAAGTTTATCCCGCAAAGTGACACCAATTAAATCGAATCCATTTTATAAAATTTGGGATTGAGGAAAAGATCATATTCTTTTAATTAAATTCATTGAGAAAAGAGAGTTAGATCGACTCTATGGTCTCGTCTCTTGATATTTAATTAATTGAATATCCTTATTCTCATTAAATATTGGTAAAAATAAATAATTAATCAATTACTTGATAGGTTTTTTTTATTTTTACTTTTGCATGTGTTTTCAAAGGGTTTTCAAAATAATAATGTTCGATCATAAATAATTAAATATTATTATTTTATCTCTAAAAATTATTTTGGGTGTTATTATTTTGAAATTTAGAATGAAATTTTAATATTTTTTATTTCGATTGGAGTAAGAATCGATTGCTTCAAGGTATGATAGATCATTTCTTCTCGATAGGAAATAATTAAATATTATTATTCTTTCATCCAAAATTTCGAAAAATATTATTTTAGGGGATCATAAATCAAATTAATTTTGAACTTGTACATTTTATTGCAAAGACAATTAATTAATCGACTAGGTACCGATTTAGGGCACTGTAGGGGTGCTAATCCTTTCCCACATGTAACAGACTCCCGAACTCATTTTCTGGTAACGCAGTATTAAATTTGTTGTTTTAATTAAAATTAATTTTTATTTAAAATGACAAAACATTTTTGGGTGCCCAATCACACCTTAATTAAAGATTGGTGGCGACTCCTCGAACCGTATTTTTATCATAAAGGAATTTCCAAATTTTTGAAACGAGAGGTTTTTTTTAATCACATTCATTTTTAATTTAAATGTATTCTGAAGAGAATAATTAAAAATTGGTGTGGTTTTCAAAATCTCGCACTCGGGAAAAATACCGTTTCGACAGCTTGACGACTCCGCTTGGGACTTTTTTTAGAGAGTCAGGCCAATAATTGATTAATTAATTGTCTTTGCAAATAAAAAATACAAGTTCGTTCTAATTTGGTTTTTGATCCCTTGTTTTGTTTTAAATAAGTTTTGTTTGCTTTTTGATTCTTAATTTGCTTAACCACTAAATAGTTATACTGATCTGTTTGCTAATGTTGTCAGATTAAATAATTGTTCAGGGTCTTGAGTTTTATGTTTAGTGTTGTTTGCTTTGTTTCGCTTTTCCTCACACACTGCACAACTGCATTCGCATAACATGAGTTAAAACCCCACTCCGTCCTATTTAAGTAGGAGAAAGCAACTAATCCCTCGTGTGGTTTTCACCTCCGTGCGGGATAGTGAAATTCTCCTTGGGCTCACGCCTTATGATCCTCGTGAGGTTTTCACCTCCGCAATGACATAAGGAAGTGTGTCCCCTTAAATTGAACTCAATCTGAAAGCCTGTGATGGGCCAGGATTGAGGGTCCGGTAGCCCAAGGGGGCACCGACAAAGGACAATTCGAGGACCCTTTACTTTAGAACCGAACCCAGCATATAGTGAACATAGAGCCCAAATTTAGGTCGAGCCTGACTTGAAACTTAGGAGTCCCGTGAGGAGGGTACACGAGGAAAAGTTTTTGAGTCATTTATTTTCACTTTTTGAATAAATGTATGCGAACTAGAAATCAGGCGGTTAGGATTATTTTCCTGAACAAACATGTGAATTAGATATCATGCGGTTAGGATTTTTGTGAATAACAAAAGCATATGGGTAGAAATCATGACTGGGTAGGATCTACTAAAGCATGATTGGGTAGCTAACAAGTAGGGTAGGTTTTATCGATAAATTGATTTATGTTTAGTCAATTCATTTATGATTACTGACCGATTTTCTTTCTTTTTGTTTACTTTATCCTCATCTTGCATTGCACTATTCATTTCATAGGTGTTGATCCATGACTGATGTCCATATAGAAGACTAGTATTATGGAACGAATGATTCAAAAAGTAGAGGACAATGCAGACGTCTTGATATGGTCCGAGCAGTCTCAACTAACAAATGGAGATAGTTTATCACCAGGGTATATATCAGAGCTGAGAGGGTATACTCACATCAACGTTTGTCAGAATGATCTGAACGAACTGAAAGAGATTTGGGGAAGATGGGAAGCGTCCGATAAGCAATTGTTCTATCAACTCCATGGTGACATTTCATATCTCCTTGATATCCCGATTGATCGGAATTTGTTTAGAGCTCTAGCTCAGTTTTGGAATCCCGCTTATAGTTGTTTTACATTTGGCCGAGTAGACATGACACCTACTATAGAGGAGTATCGTGCCTTGATTCGCTGTCCGAGGTTCCAAGTAGACAAAGTATACACCAAACCCCCAAATACTCCTTCATTTAAGAAGAAACTTATTCTGATGACTGGCATGAGTGAAGAATGGGTTATGAGAGGCATAAAAAAGAAAGGAGACCGCGAATGCATTACTTGGACCCTTATGAGAGATTTGATTGACTGTCATCCTGATCGAAGAAAAAAGATTGACTTCTTTGCTCTAGGTATCTATGGATTGGTTATTTTCCCGAGAGTTCTCGGGCATATTGATGTATCAGTAATAGACCTGTTCGAAAGATTGGATAGACATGTGGATCATGTTCCAGCTATTCTGGCAGAAACATTTCGTTCCCTGAGCTCTTTCCGAAGAGAAGGGGAAGGACGATTCATAGGTTGTGCACCATTGTTGTTAACCTGGATCCTTAGTCATTTCAAACACGTCGAGAGAGCTCCTGGTCGGGTCTTCTTAAATGGTTTTTCACCGTTGAAGGATTTCATTTCTCGGCAGTGGCCTGGGGGTTTTACTGAGGAAAAGTGGATGATCATTTTCAAAAGTATCCGAGACAGTGACATATTATGGCGTACCTCATGGAATGTCTCATCTGACATATTATATCGATGTGGAGATAGAGATTGGGTTCTATTACCTGGTATTTGGGGATCTGTAGGGTATGCCCCATTACAGGTTTCCCGACAATTTGGGTCGAGACAGTTTATTCCGGCAACAAGGGAGTTATCTAAGTCTGAGTTTGCATTCAAGGGAGAACTGTATAAGAATAAAGTTAAAGGGGTAACTGATGCTTGGAGACAAACCCATCGGGTAAATCTCTTTACTTTTGAGTCAGGGCTATCTCGAGGATACGAGGAGTGGAGAAGCAACCGAGTTAATGATAATATTCCATTAAGAAATCAAGAGAATATCCAATCTATGGAAGAACACCTCAGGGTGATCCCTTCTCCGCTCGAGCAAGCCAAGCTTGATTTTGAGGCAGAAAGGAAACAATGGAGAGTAACTTTGCAAAAGCTAGAAGATGAAGTGTACCAGAAAGAGCTGGAGACTGACATCCAAAAGAGTCAGGCTGATCGGATTGAAAAAGTAGAGAAGCAACTTAGATTGGATTTCAATGACCTCCATTTATCACACCAGCGAATGATCAAAGATCAGACATCTGCTAGCTCTAGTAAGTCTTCTACTGAATGGAAGCAAGAAGTGGCAGGACTGAAAAGAGAAATTGGGGAAAGCAGTGAAGAACTCAAACGGAGTAGACATCAGGCCAAATTACTCTTGAGAGACAAAAATGCCCTTGAACAACAATTGAAAGAGAATCAGACCCAGAATGAGAAATTAAAGAATAGGGTCATGAGCTTAGAGACTGTTTTGCAACGATATAAAAGTCGAGAAAGTAGTTCACATGCTGAAGTGGAAAGATTGACGAAGCGTGCGAATGAACTCGAGGCCTTAGTTCAAGATTTGCAAAGAAGAGCAAATGAACTTTGATTGGTCCCTTATGAAAGAGTTATGCAATGGCGCTATCGTTGGGAGCAGGCTCAGTGTAGAGTTAAGCAAAGGGAGGATCTCATTGCAGGATACCTACAGCAAGCTCAAGGAGTGGCTCAACACTTAGTTGATCTGTCACAGGAAGCTAATAATGTGATTGAAGAACTGGATCCAGAGGCAGAAGAAAACCAGAAGATAGTGGAATTACTGGGACATATCCAACAATTAGGAGAGATAGCTCTATTTTATCTGTGATCTGTTTAATCCTTGTAATTGAGCTTCATTTCCTATATAAAAAGTTGTTCTAAGGAATCGTCCCAGAATCAACACCTCATATTGCATTCATCTTGCATTCATATTCCATCTACATTGCATTTCCTTTTATAAATAACATTCTAATCACATTTTTCACACCTCATTAATAAAACACCATGATTAATAAAAAATATTGTGGCAGAATACTGGACACTTATAAGCATCCATACAACACGCGAAAAAAGGCAATGGATGATAGAATTGTCAATATAGAGAAGGTTCAAGCTGAAATGCAAGAGAATTTAAAGAAAACGCAAGAGGAAATGCGCGAACAGATAATGAAGGCTCAAGACGACATGATGGAAAAGTTGGTTAGTTTGCTACAGGGAAATAGTGTGGTCCAAGGAGAGGCTCCAGTTATCGGTCCTGCTGCTGAGGAACCTTTATATCCCCCTGCTTCACACCACCGTATATCCACACACAACAAGCCACGACCATCCAACCAAAAAAATACAAGTAAACCTATATGGTTCTTCCACGAACCCACAACCAATTGAAGATGTCCCTGATTTGGATGAGGAAGACAAAAAAGAACATGATAAGGAGATTAAGAAAGAATGGGAACAAATGAAGCATGAATTCCGAGCTATGAAAGAAGATGCTAGATTATATGGAATTGACGCCAAAGAGCTAAGTCTGGTCCCTGATTTAGTGTTACCACCGAAGTTCAAAGTTCCAGACTTCGAGAAATTTGATGGCACCAGTTGTTCTTCTGCACACATTACCATGTTTTGCAGAAAAATGATAGGCTATGTGGGAAACGATCAGCTATTAATTCATTGTTTTCAAGAGAGCCTGGCAGGCTCAGCAATCTGTTGGTACAATCAGCTAAGCCTAGCTCAGATTAAATCCTGGAAGGATTTGGCTAAGGCTTTTCTAGAGCAATATAAGTACGTAAAAGATGTGAGGCCGAATCGAATTCTGTTGCAGAGTATGGAAAAAAGATCCAATGAGAGTTTCAAGCAATATGCCCAAAGGTGGAGAGATGTTGTTGTACAAGTTCATCCACCATTAGAAGAGGAAGAAACCAATATGTTTTTTATAAATACTCTGAGGGCCCCGTTCTTTGGACATCTCATTGGAAATTCGTCCAAGAATTTTGCTGACATAGTTAATACAGGAGAAATGATCGAGATGGCGATCAAAAGCGGGAAGCTAGATGGGGGAGAATCTAGCTGAAAGCCTCCAGTGAGAAGAAAAGATAATGAGGTCAGTAATGTGAAGAAATATGATTCTAATAACATTACAGTATCTCGACCACCGGCCACTGCGTCGTCAGCATTAAATCCTGTCCAGCAAGGAGTGAAAGAACCAAGATAGAAAAGAGAAAGGGTTCAATTTGACCCTATCCCCATGACCTATAAAGAATTATTCCAGATCCTGTATGACAAACATGTGGTGTCACCTTACCACACTTCTCCAATACAACCTCCTTACCCAAAATGGTTTGACATCAATGCTCAATGTGAGTATCATGCGGGTGCATCGGGCATTCAATTGAAAATTATATGGCCTTTAAAAAGTTGGTGCAGAGATTAAGACAAAGAAATATCATCAATTTCGGTGATAGTGAGCAGCCGAATGTGGCTCGGAACCCATTGTCGAACCATGCAGGGACATGGGTTAATGTTGTTATTGAAGAAAGAGTGAACAGAGTCATAACCAAAGTCAATGAAGTGAAATCACCCATGCATTGGGTATGGGGGCAAATGGTCAAAATAGATTGGTTGACCTTTAATGTTAACGGGAATAAGCATGCTTGCCCCTACCACCGTTGTGAGGATCATGTCATTCAAAACTGTGATGAGTTTAAGGCTTTGGTTCAAAGGCTGATGGATAGTAAAGACATGGAATTTTACCATGAAGCTATGGAGGAGGAAGAGGTAGAGATTTGTGCTTCCGAGGGTACATCCAAAGGAGTCTACAATTCCAACTGCCCTCTGGTTATCATGCCGAAAGCCCGTACAGTAGAGAATATAACCCCAAAAGTGATGATCATACCCCCGTCGTCCTTTCTCTATAAGGATAGCAAACAGATCCCCTGGAGGTACGAGTGCCATCTAGGTGATGTTGGTGTTTCAAAGGGTGCCAATGAAGAGGTGGATGAGGTAGGCCACTTCACCAGAAGTGGGAGGTGTTATTCTCCTAATCCGACCAATGAACCCAAAAAAATAGCAACCCCAGATAAAGGAAAAAAGGTCGAGATACAGCTGAAAGATGATGAGCCAACAATTAATGAGCCTGTAACCGAGAACGAAGCTGTGGAGTTTTTAAAATTTTTGAAGCATAGCGAGTACAGCATCGTCGAGCAACTACACAAGTTGCCAGCTCGCATCTCAATCCTGGCTCTACTATTAAGCTCTGAGGCACATCGAAATGCCTTGATGAAAGTCTTAAATCAGACCTTTGTGCCAAAAGATGTGCCAGTAGAAAAGATAGACCGGTTGGTTGCAAATATTCAAGCAGAAAATTTCATCTCGTTCTCTGATGATGAAATCCCGTCTGGAATGATGGGCAATCCTAAAGCCCTGCACATTACCATCAGGTGCAAGGGACAAGTGTTATCGCGAGTACTAATCGACAATGGCTCTGCCCTGAATGTGATGCCATTAGTAACATTGAAAAAACTACCGGTTGATAGTACATACATGAGAAATTGCCAAAGCATCGTTCGAGCTTTTGACGGAATAAAGAAGGAGGTGCTGGGGAAGATCGATATTCCTTTAACCATTGGCCCATCAACCTATGAGGTCGAATTCCTTGTAATGGATATAATGCCTTCCTATAACTGCTTGTTAGGAAGGCCTTGGATCCATCAGGCAGGAGTGGTGCCATCCACTTTGCATCAGAAACTCAAATTTGTAATTGAAGGGAGACTGGTATGCCTTAATGCTGAGAAAGATATCATTGCTTCCATATCTACTACCGCTCCATATGTCGAAATAGATGAAGATGCGGTCGAGTGCTCTTTCAGAGCCTTGGAATTCATTAATGCCACCTTTGTTGCTGAAAGAAAGAAAATTCCGAAGCCTAGGCTATCCAATTGTACTAAAATGGAACTGAAAATGACTATGGGAAGAGGAGCCAAGGTTGGAAGAGGATTGGGAAGCCGCCTACATGGAAATATTAATCCAGTTTTTCATGTTATTAAGCGAGACCGTTTTGGTCTGGGATATCACCCGCCCTTAAAAGAAAAGTTGAAAAATGTTCAAAAGAGCAAGGAAAGGAGGAAAGCCAGGTTAGTCGGGGAAGATATTAAGTGGGAACACATGAATTTCCCATTGTTGCGTGACACCTTCATATCTGGGGGTCATATGTTTCAGGGGAGTCGATCATCAAAAGAGTCTGTTATTGAAAATACCCTGAAGGATTTGGGCATAAATGTGATATCAGAGGAAGGAATCGAAGACGGAAGGGCTATGGGCATCTATCCCACACCACCAGGCTTTGTGCTAAACAATTGGACTGCAGAAGAATTACCTGTAGTTTACAAAACTATTTCAGAGTAATGCACAAAAACTTTCCCTATTGTCTAAACCCTGAGGCAATAGGTGATCTCTTGTAAGGGGTTAATCTATCTATTTTTTTTAAATAAATGATGCATTCCTGTTAATTCACGAAATGGCAAATATCATCATTTCCATTCTTTATTTATTTCTTTCTTTCTTTCTTTTTTATATATTATTATTTCATTCTATTTTGATATGGGATAGATTCTCCTGTATTTGTATATGTATATATCCTCTCGTTCGTTATTCTTTCAGGGCCTCCGATATCAATAGTATGAATGCTGATGAGTCTGATCTGAAGATAGATTTTGAGTTTCCCATATGTCAAGGGGAAATTGAAGGTTATGATAGTGATGAGGGAAGCCACTTATCTTCTGAACTACTAAAAATGGTAGAAAGAGAAGATAAACAAATTATACCTCATGAAGAGCCCATTGAGATCTTGAATTTAGGATCAGAGGAGGATAAAAAGGAGATAAAGATTGGCACCATCATATCTGCTGAGGGATGACAAAGTCTGATTCAACTGCTTCGAGAGTACAGAGATGTGTTCGCTTGGTCGTATGAGGACATGCCAGGGTTAGATACTGAATTAGTGGTACATAAATTGCCAATAAAGCCTGAATGTAAACCAGTACAACAAAAGCTCAGAAGGATGCGACCGAAATGCTACTTAAAATTAAAGAAGAAGTAAAGAAACAATTTGATGCTGGGTTCCTGAAAGTAGCCAAGTATCCGGAATGGGTAGCAAATGTCGTTCCAGTACCAAAGAAAGATGGGAAAGTTCGCATGTGCGTCGACTACAGAGATCTTAATCGGGCCAGTCCAAAAGATAATTTCCCTCTGCCACACAAAGACACCCTGGTGGACAATACAGCTGGAAACTTTCTATTTTCATTTATGGATGGGTTTTCAGGTTACAATCAAATAAATATGCATCCAGATGATATGGAAAAAACTATGTTTGTCACCATGTGGGGTACGTTCTATTACAAGGTGATGTCGTTCGAACTAAAGAATGCAGGGGCAACCTATCAAAGGGCCATGGTAACACTATTCCACGACATGATGCACAAGGAAATAGAGGTCTATGTCGATGATATGATTGTTAAAGCTAAAACGTAGGAAGAACACATCGAGAATCTGAGGAAACTCTTCCAAAGATTAGGAGCTGCCAATTAAAACTCAATCCAAGCAAGTGTACCTTTGGGGTAACATCGGGAAAACTCTTGGGGTTTGTAGTAAGCAAAAAAGGGATTTAAGTAGATTCTGACAAGGTCAAAGCTATTCAGGATTTACCACCCCCACAAACACAAAAAGAAGTTCGAGGATTTCTGGGAAGATTAAACTACATTGCCCGATTTATTTCGCAATTAACTGAGAAGTGCGATCCCATTTTTCGCCTTCTCCGTAAAAATAACCCAGGGGTATGGAATGATGATTGCCAGGGAGCTTTTGAAGCAATAAAAGGATATTTGTTGAATGCTCCAGTATTAATGCCACCAATATCCGGCAAACCATTAATCCTCTACTTATCAATCTTTGAGAATTCAATGGGGTGCGTATTAGGGCATCATGATCAAACTGAGAAAAGAGAAAGAGCAATTTACTACCTCAGCAAAAAGTTTATTGATTGCGAGACAAGGTACTCACCAATAGAAAAGTTGTGTTGTGCTTTAGTTTGGACTACCCGAAGGCTCAGACAATATATGTTGTATCACTCTACTTGGCTCATATCTAAACTTGATCCTCTTAAATATCTAATGGATGTACCTACTTTATCTGGAAGATTGGCTCGTTGGAAAATCTTATTTTCGGAATTTGATATCCAATATGTAAGCCAAAAAGCAGTTAAAGGAAGTGTTGTGGTCGATTTCATTGCAAGTAGGGTTTCTGAAGAGTATGAACCACTGAACTTCGATTTTCCAGATGAAGATTTAATGGTTATTTCAACAGAGAATGCAGTTTCCTTTACTAATGAACAGTGGAAGATGAATTTCGATGGTGCCTCTAATTCTTTAGGGCACGGGATTGGGGCAATTCTCGTCTCACCTTGTGGAAAACACTATCCTTTCACCAGCCGATTGAATTTTGATTGCACAAATAACATGGCCGAATATGAAGCATGTATTCTGGGTCTGAAAGCTGCCATTGAGCGTAAAGTGAAAATACTCGAAGTATATGGAGATTCAGCCCTGGTAATTTATCAACTCAGAGGTGAATGGGAAACAAAAGATACGAAGTTGGTGGAATACCGAAAGTTGGTCTTAGAGCTCATTAAAGAATTCGAGAGGGTGACATTTCATTATATCCCCAGAGAAGAGAATCAAATGGCGGATGCTCTGGCCACTTTGGCAGCAGCTTTCAAAGTCAATGAATATTCAAGCATGATGCCTATTACGATGGAAGCTTACGGGTATCCAGCCCATTGCTATAGCATACAAGAGGAAGAGGATGGAAATCCTTGGTATTACGATATCCTGCAATATATTAAAAATCAAAGCTACCCTAAGCATGCCATTGAGAATGACAAAAGAACTATTCGAAGAATGGCGGCAAGATATGTGCTTGATGGTGAGGTCTTGTACAAGAAAAGTCATGATCAAGTCTTGTTACTGTGTGTGGATGCCAAAGAAGCCAGAACAATCATTGAAGAGGTGCATGAAGGAGTATGTGGTACCCATGCTAATGGACATATAATGGCTAAACAAATAATGAGATTTGGATATTATTGGTCAACTCTGGAAACTGATTGTATCAATTTCTCCAGAAAATGTCACAAATGCCAGATTTATGGAGATAAGCTCCACACCCCTCCTCATCCATTACATGTAATGACTGCTCCGTGGCCATTCTCTATGTGGGGCATGGATGTCATTGGGCAAATTTCACCCAAAGCTTCTAATGGCCATCATTTCATATTTGTGGCAATAGACTATTTCACTAAGTGGGTAGAAGCGGCATCCTATGCAAATGTCACTTAGTCAACAGTTTGCAAGTTCTTGAAGAGAGAAATTATTTGTCGATATGGGCTACCAGAAAGGATTGTCACTGATAATGCCTTGAATTTAAATAATAAGATGATGGAGTCAGTATGTAAACAATTCCAAATTAAACATCATAATTCCACCACTTATCGCCCAAAGATGAATGGAGCGGTAGAGGCAGCCAATAAGAACATCAAGAGGCTCATGCAAAAAATGACTGAGACTTATAGAGATTGGCATGAGAAGTTACCATTCGCTTTGTTTGCCTATCGAACTTCAGTGAGGACGTCTACTGGGGCAACTCCATTTTCTTTAGTTTATGGTATGGAGGCTGTGTTACCCATCGAGGTTGAGATTCCGTCACTACGAGTACTGTCAGAGGTTAAGTTAGATGAAGCAGAATGGGTGCAAGCTAGGTATGATCAATTGAACCTGATTGAGGAAAAAAGATTAAAAGCTATCTGTCATGGGCAAATGTACCAGAAACGTATGATAAGGGCACATAATAAAAAGGTTTATCCACGAGAGTTTCAAGAATGAGACTTGGTGCTAAGAAAGATTTTGTCAATTTAGAAAGACTTTCGAGGAAAATGGATGCCAAATTGGGAAGGACCTTATGTGGTAAAGAAGGCCTTTTCTGGAGGAGCTTTGATCCTCACCGAGATTGATGGACCAGAGTTATCTAACCCTGTGAATGCTGATGCAGTCAAGAAGTATTTCGCCTGAAAAAATGAATGGAAAAATGAATGGAAAAAATGAAAAAAAAAGAAAGAAAAATGAGGAAAAAGGAAAAGAAAAATAAAAGAAGGGTTCAAGATAAAAACCTGTAAAGGGCGTCTTGAAACCAGAAAAGGTCTCATGTTGAAAACCCGTAAAGGTTGGCTTGAGAATGGTGTAAATTCAGAATTCGTGCATGGTGGAGGTTTTGAATTAGTTTTGAAAGCTTGATATGATAGTCATGGGTTAGGGTTGGAAATTGAAAAGCTTGGATAACAAGAAAGTAAACGAGACTCAAACGCTGGCTTATGATATCCAACAGTAGGGAATTTGGCAGTACAGGGGGAACTTCACACCCTTACGCATTACCACAATCATCAAGATCCCCTTGACAGAAGCTACACTCAGGTCTCTTACGGCGTGCCAGTTCAAAAGCATTCGTTCTATTGATGTCTGATGACGCCTACTGTATTTTCTTTTAATTATTCCTTTTAAAAGTTTGTCATGTATTCACTCAAAAAACTCTTTATTTATAAATAAAAAGATGTTTTTAACCGCATTGTAAATATCCTGATTAAAAATAAAAACATGTAGATTAGCTCGGGAAACATGAGATCATTGTGCATTATTGTACAAAAAGTTTTGGAAAATACAGATATTCTGAAGCCGAAAATGGTTTTAGCATAAAGCTTGTGCAATGTTAGACCATAAGAAGTTAAAGCCTTGAGATATACGCAAATGCTTAACAATTGGGGATAACCCAAGAGGTTTTGTCACTAATTAAATAGTGGGTCACGAGAAGCACATGGGTTCAAAGAGTAAAGAGAATTAGAGTCAGGCTCAACCAAAGAATGTCCAACTAGGATTGTCGATTGAGATGAACTGTTGTTGATTTTTGTGCCTAAACCAGTCTGAAGTACAAGGCCGTTAACAAAAGAAAATTCTCGTTTGAAAAGAAAATACTCTCAAAATAATTGCATCATTGCACACATTTTAGGCATAAACAAGATCATGACATAAAATGCATAATAATGAGTGCTTGCAGGTTCTCTTAAAAGAAATGATAGAGATGTAAAGACCCAACATAGTAATAACCAATTCGAACTTCCATGATTGGTCGAGGCAAGACAAGCTTCCGCAAGAGAAATATTTCCCAAAGATTATTATCCCGAGACTTTCATGTATGATGTTTTTGAATCCTTAAACATATACTAACAAAGGTTAATGTTTAATTTTCAGGTTCGACCCAGATTCAATGGATCAACTTTCCCATATCTGATATTCCCTTAGAAGAAGTGGAACAGATCCCTCTCTTTCAAGATTTGTATTCCATGAGTGGCAGCGGAACAAGTCTACCTTGATTCAATGAATCAACTTTCCCAGATCTGATATTCCCTTAGAAGAAGTGGAACAGATCCCTCTCTTTCAAGATTTGATATTCCCTGAGTGACAGCGGAACAAGACTACCTTGATTCAATGAATCAACTTTCCCAGATCTGATATTCCCTTAAAAGAAGTGGAACAGATCCCTCTCTTTCAAGATTTGATATTCCCTGAGTAACAGCGGAACAAGTCTACCTTGATTCAATGAATCAAATTTCACAGATCTGATATTCCCTTAGAGGAAGTGGAACAGATCCCTCTTTCAAGATTTGATATTCCCTGAGTGACAGTGGAACAAGTCTACCTTGATTCAATGAATCAACTTTCCCAGATCTGATATTCCCTCAGAGGAAGTGGAACAGATCCCTCTCTTTCAAGATTTGATATTCCCTGAGTGACAGCGGAACAAGTCTACCTTGATTCA